TCGTAAATAAGCTCCCGAGTCACCAGGAACTTGAAAAGGGGTTCTATAGCCAAAAGTGTCTCCTCCTTCAGGTCCTTCCCAACTCTGGTGTTCAGGGGGCTCCCTCCTTCCTCCCTGAGGAGAGAATAGGAAAGTTTCCTGCAAATACTGCTTCAAAGTGGGAGGCATCATTGCCAATCCACGAACGAGCCTGACCAGGGGCTCAGGCACCCTCGAATTCCAGTCTCCCTCTGCCACACAGGTCTCTGTCACCTCTCCCAGCCTCGGCTTCCACATCTGTGAAGGGTGGCAGTATTCCCTGTCCCTGGGACCAGCACAGCAGTGTGCTCAGGGGCACTTGCTGGTCTGATTTGAATCCAGCTCTGCCACTTGCCCCTTGTGTGGCCATGAGTCTCTCTGGGCCTCAGTGTCCTTGTCTGTGAAGCAGGAATAATCAGCCCTGTGCACAGGGCTCCTGTGGGGATTAAAAGTGTTGACCCAAAAAGAAAAAAAGGTAAAAGCATTGACCTAAAAGAAACTGAGCAATAACACCTAGGTCCAGGGTTCGATCCCTGTACTGACCAGTTACCAAAGAAAAGAAAGAAAGAAAAGAAAAATAAGAAATAAAAGAAAACCGAGGCCAAATATATAAGGCATAGGATTTATTGAGCCAATATAATGACTGGAACAGAAATGTGCACTGAAGAGGGCCAGCAGAACTAGCATTTTATAATCACAAGAAGGGGGAAGTGTCAAAGGAGAGAAAGAGGGGACGGCCACCTAGTCACTTATCAGTTGTACGTGACAGATAGATTCCGGATTGCTACTGAGTTATATCCTACGTGAAGGGGTCTAGGGTAAAGATTACAAGAAGCATTCTAGGTTATTCTAGGTGGCTTTCTGTTGCCATCATATCTGCTTCTAAGTAAAAACGGTCTTGTGACAACGTTTTCCAGGAAAGGTGGACATGACTACTGACTTATCCCAGATCTCCCAAGGCACTACAGGTTAGCTGACCTGGTCAGAGCACATTTTTCTGGTATCAGTGGAAGGGTCCGTACGCCAGGCCCCAGCTCACAGGAAGCCCCCATAAACAGCAGCTACTGTGACCGCTGTTGCTAATGCTCAGTGGCCGTGGGGCTCAAATGCAGACAGGTATGACTAGCAGGATGGGTGGTTAACGATCGGTGGGTGAGAGATTTAGGGAGGAGGGAACAGTGTCCAGGCACCCCCTACTGACCCCTCCCATGAGCATGAGCCCCTCAGCAGCAGCTCCAGTGCCACCCGGTGGGGGTGACTACAGCTGCAGGGGTAGGAGAGTGCCAGATCCTGCCTGGCCGCCCCCCAGATGGCACGAGGTCCAGTACTCCTCTGGCCTCAGCCACTGTGGCTTTAATCAAAAGAACAATCTGTTTGCCTCTGAATCAGACCCAGATTCCTTTTCCCAGCAATGATCCTGAGGCCTCTGGGGACCTAGGCGGCCCATCCCTGCCCCATCCCCGGCCCCAGAGCCCAGGCTCAGCTTCCCCCTCCTCCTCCATGTTCTTTCTATCTAGTCTAGCTGGGAAGGGAGGGCGGGTACAGGAGGTGGAGGGAGGGGGCCAGCAACAGGGCCCAGGGTGACAAACCAGGTGCCCTGATTGCCAGCCGGGCCCTGCCCACCAGGCCTCCTGGAGGGGCCTGTCCCTCAGGACCCACTATAGACAGGTAGAGACTGCTCGGAATGACAAATCAAGATGACCTGCCTCACCCTGGGCACTCCCTGAAAAAACCCCAAACCTAGCATATATCGGCTACCGACCACGTGCTCCTCACTGTCACCATCACTTTTCATCCTCAGGACAACGTGGAGAGTGGTCACCCCCATTTTACAGACGAAGAAACTGAGGCTCGGGGAGATGGAGTGACTGCCTAGGGTCATACACTTAGAGGGTAACCATGGCACCCAAGGCCTCCTGACTCTTAGATTCCAGGACCAAACCAGCCCCCTCCGTCGCATGGCCAGGTAAGTCCACCAACCCAGGTGACCTCGGGAGGGCAAGGGTTAGGACCACTCAGGGTGTACAAAGGACGTGGGCCCGGGCCCAGCGGGAGGGGAGGAGTGGTCGAGGGAACAAAGGCCGGGGGAGGGGGCGGCGCGGGGCGCGGCCGGGCAGGTG